AAGCGAAAAGAACCTGTACGCAGATATCGATGCAGCTTGGCACTCGCTACGAACGAGATACGGCATATCACCAGAACACATCATTTTGTACGGACAGTCAATAGGTAAGGATTCTTCACTGTTACCCATCATGCCATGTTGCGTTTAGCAGAACCTGCCCATCATGCTTTGCCTTTAGCAGAACTCACAGTTTCTATTTTGAGGCCACACCAATTTAATTTGTTGGTTCTCGGATTTGCCTCTTGGTTTTTTTCTGATTTGCAAAAAAAAAAATGATTCTGGTTCTGAATCAACTGAAAAATGCTCATGTTTTGCCCTCAGCAGTTGAGGAAAGTCCTTTTCTTATTAGTTGTTACAGTTTTCCCATCTATCATTGCAGTGGTTTGATTAAAAGTTCAAAATTCAATGTTTAAATTTTAACCCAGCCTTTTGTGTTGACTTCATGGCTCATTTCGTAGCATTTAAGCCTATTATAATGGGATGCCTAGGCCTGTTTTTATTTTTATTTTTTTTCGCCCTGTCGCTTCATATTTTTTCTGAAAAAATCCGAGAACCAACAAATTAAATTGGTGTGGCCTGATAATAAAAAGGTTCTTCCTAGTAAGTTGTGCCATCTAGTATTGGTAGTAGTATTCAGGTTTTCTAAAAAAAATGTTTTAAATTTGTTTGCAGTTCAGCACAGGTGTTTACCAGTCATACCAAATTACCATACTCTTTTTTTGCATGCAGGTTTTATTTCTCTTACAGGATTTGATGTGTTAAATCCTTTGGATTTTCTTGCAGACTCAAAAGGAAACAAAAAGTTCACAGACAGTGAACGCACCAAACAGTCTTGCATCTGTTAATCGTTAGTGGTTAGGCACTGAAGTTCAATATCTTGCATACCAGGCACAACATGTAGAAAGCAGCAGTGATGACCTTATATTTTTTTTTAGTTATAATAAGTTCAGTATTTCTAAGAATAGTAAGATGGCTACTGACCAGATGTTGGTTCTCTATCATGTATTGTGGGTTACTTTTTTTGTGTGTGCAGTTTATTGTATTATCATATGTCAGTCCAAAATCATGAAAATGTTCACATGTGACAGACTCCCGTCAGTTCAATTTAATGGATGAAAGATATACTTGCTTGATGTTAGAAACTTGGTAAACAGGTAAGGATCAGAAGGGAAAAAAAATTCAGAGTTTCTACATAAATTTGGTGCAAATTTATTCATTGCAAGAAGACTTGGTATCCATGGTATTCTGTGTGTTTGAAGGTACGGTGTTTGTTACAGGGTTGCCATGACAAAACTGCCTACAACTATGCCTCTCATGTTGACTTCAAAGCATTGTTGGTAGATTGTGGGTAAAACACAGAAAAACGTTTTCTAAATGATTTCCAAGCCATAGCATAGGTACAGGAGCGTCTGGTCTTTTTTTTCTATTTCTTTCCTTACTCACACAG